ACCTTTGTGCTGTGCTGTATTGGAGTCCGTTTCCTTCTTTTCTGGGTTGGCAGAAGTCTCTGCTTGACACAGTTACCTTGCTGAGGAATGTGTGAAAAAACTGCAGTCTGCTCTGGCTAAACTAGAGTGTGTTAGTGCAGAGAAATTTTATAGTAAATTGAAAAAGTAAATAAGAAATAAAAACGGAATGGGTTTAATATTGAGTTAAACAATGCAGTTATGATGGTATTGTGTTTAACTCAAAAAAAAAAAAAAAGAAATCTCTGTACTATGTCTGCAGTTCCTTTGAAATACTGTGTCACCTACAGTAGAGCGGTGAATGCTGCCTAAGCTTTGCGTTGTTGGAGTTTCAGTAAAACAATGACCTAGGGTTGAAAAAATCACCTGACTGACAGTAAGCTACCACGATGTATCAGTGTTTTCCTCTGTCTGGTCTGTCCCACATGTTCACAGGACCTCTCCCAGAGCATTTTCATGTGCCCAGTGTAATCTGCAGAATTTTGAGCAGCTTTTAAATAGAAAAGTAGTAGGTTTGTTTTTTTTTAATATAAATAACCGTTGTAATTCTACTTTTACTGTGATAATTTGCTACTATACCTATTCTGACTAGTTTATTTTCCTTGGATTTAGCCAACCTAATGAGATACTGTCAGTTGTTTAATGAAATTTAATTTTTCATTTGTTTAATTAGTTAATTCAGCAATCAGTACAGTGTCTTGGTACAGTAAACTGTTCATAGGATAGTAAATAGGATCAGATCATGCAAATACCTGCCTCTGGGCTCTGGTGACAAGTTTAAAATTGCATTGCTATGTTTTGCCTTCCTAGAATTCTTTCACCAGATAGTAGCATTTGATTTCCTTTTGAATACTGTAAAAAATTAAAACGTAGTTGTATTACTTTCTTCTAAAATCAGTAATATTTAAGTAAACGTAAGTGGAATGATAACATGCCAGGTTTCAACTCAGGAGTTCTTAGTTGTTGCATATACTTGATGTGTTATGTAGATAATTTTTTTGAGAAACAGTATCATTAAGCATTCTCCAAAAGAGTGCAGAAAAAGTTACAGAAGAGCTGGCAGGTGTTTTTCTTTCTATTACGATCTGGGCAGTGCGGTATAGTTTTGTCTTGCAGGTTGGTTGAACTGCTGGCTACTGGAGTTTAGCCAGTGCTGAATGTGTTGAATACTATTACTTATAACTAAAGCAAGGCCTATTACCGCTTGCCAACTATGACAATATCAACTCTGACATTTGAAGGAAAAGCTATTAAGTTTACCAACTTGGGACAAAGGTTTGTTTTATTACTGTCCCCTTCGTGCTCAACAGAGAGACAAACTCCGGTGCAGGGTTTCTGGTCTCTCTTTCTGCTGACTGGAGAAAGAGAAAAGGGCCACTGGCTTCCCGGTTATAAGCGTAACCTTTGTGAATGCTGTCCTTCGTGTTGGAAGAAGTTTTAATTGTGGAGACCAAAATGACCTGGCAGTTTATAATCAACTACTCTAACCTTTAATATATGTTGAGTACATATATACAAACACAAATGTGGAAGATGGCTCATTTTGGCCTCCTTTGTTGGGAAGCATCATTCAGGTGTCTCCTTGTGTTTGGTGGTGTTGCTCTCAAATTTGTTGCCTTAGTGCTTTTAGCCTGAATATGAGTTTTTGCTTTTACAGTTTTCAGAAGTGGTGTGCTCTTTCAGCAGTGTAGTGAAGTTGGCTGCATGCAGGTTGGGTTTAGATGGATGCACATGGGAAAAAAAAGTTTGTTCCCACTGATAGCTATTAATGAATGATCTGTAACCAGACTGGGGCTGTATTTTTATGGGGAAAATATGATTTGAAAGTTCTCCATCCAAATCTATATTTTTCCCAGTTTGTACTCTGTGATATGTTTTAATCAGTAAAGAATAGTTTCATGTTTTTAAAAAGTGCCATTTTCTTTTTTCTAAAGGGCTTATATCAGGTAGTTGAACTTTGAACATTTTGTTTCTGTTCACCTTAAAATGCTGGGCTGGAAACCAGCTGTTCAAGAGCTGGTTCAGGAATAGACTTCATGTGTCTGTCTCAAGGGCAATGGCAGATCTATCAGATGGAGGGGCAGATAATAGAGCAGGTATGACCTGATAGATTTTGGTATCCAACTTTAATGTGCTCCCTGTCGGAGTCCCAGCTGACAGAGATGGAGTGGTGCCAAAATCGGAATGTTACAACTTGTTTTGTGTCACTTCTCAGGCACAAGACTGTATTTATTAAAAGTAATTGTCCCATGAATAAGTACTACACTCGTATTTAGATCCTTTCACCCATTGGCTTCTTAGATGCCTGCGGAGTCTCAGGTATTTTTCTGAAACGGATATGCTGGTGGTGGCTAAATTCAATCGCTGCTCTGTCCTTCAAGAGGATTTTTTTTGTAGCTTGTGATGCTCCCCTATCATAATTCATTAATAAAGCATGAAGTAGGCTTAAGAATAGGTAAGAATGCAAAAGCCCATGTCAGCAAGCAAAGCAGAAGCCTCCAGATGCTAACTGGGGAGCTTGGGTTCTAACTTTTGGCACAAATTTTGGCCGTAATTTCAGGGTTTGCTTCTTGTGCAACATGGTTACGTCCGGAGCCCTGGCCATGCTACTCGGCATGTAAAAGAGAGCCTTGTTTTTAGTGGTTGTGTGACATATATCACTTAAGTACTAGTTTGAACTAGCATTTGAAAAAGCAAATGATAGGCTTGTGAAGAAATGAAGGCCTGGTTATATCCAGAAATAAACTCAGCTGTTTAGCAACTGTGCCTGTGATGGCGGTTGTACTCAGAGGTCAGATGTGGCTAAAGTAAAACAAAATTCCATGAAACTATGGTGTATACTAGCTCTGATTTACAGTATCCTAAAGTAAAGAAAAAATGGCCAACAGCCAACTGTGAGTGAATACAGATGTTGTTTTACAGGATTTGTCGTATGATGCTGGCAACACATGATGGAGATGATGGTGTTTTGTAGAGTTCATGGGATGTGGCAAAAGGTTTGAAGTAAATAGAAGTGAATGTGACATTGAGGTTTTAGAACATAAACTTTCTATGAGTAGTTAAAAGAAGTTAATGTGCTCCGTTCATGGGGGGAAAAGTAAGCCACAAGTTTTCCGGTATTAAATACAACATTTTAAATAGCATGAATTGTGTGAGTAGAATACACTAGAAACATTTGTTAAAATCTTCATGAGCTTCTTACATCCTGAATTGCATTCAGAGGGAAAAAAATGTGATTGAGTAAATTTAAACACAAAACCAGACATCAACACTAAATTAAATACTCTGTAGCTGCTTTTCTCAATGTCTCTTCAGAACGCTGCATCACTTGAAAAATACGTGACTTTGCATACTAAGTCTTTACTTTAGAATTAGTTTTTATCTTCTGTTATTTCACGTTGAAGTTAACAAATTGTCTTATTCCTTCACAAATAAGATTGCTAAGACCAGCCACGTTCTGAAAGCGATCAGAGCAAGCCTTTTCCTTCTCTTCAAACTTTTCCAAAGTCCTTGGAGGCAGCAAAAAGGAGGTCATGTGCAGCATGGCCTGACAGCTCCTCCGTGGGACAAGGGTGTCCTTTTCTACTCGTGGTTGTGCAACTTTCTGGTGGGGCGATGACTCTTTTTGCTTGCCGCTGCTTATGACACAGGGGTCTGCAGCCGTCGTTGATTGTGAGAAATTTTGGAGGTCCTTTTTCCTTCAGATGTGGGAAAAGAAAAATGTAGGGCATGTTTCCTAGCTTACAGAGTTTGCTGCCAGTGTTTTCTTTGCTGCTTGGCAGGCTCATTTCGTTCATGCTGAGAGAGGCAAGTTACACCTTCGTGATATGAGATACTTTTAACAAAATTTGGAATCCCTAAAACCTGTCAGTTTAGTATGTGAATGAGTTTTGGAGGGGAGTAAGAAACGGCTGGGAGAAGTGAGCCTTTCAAGCTGTGTGGACTTTCTATTCTTAGTAGGGTAAGGACTATAAAGTATTTTCTTTTCTTTTCTTTTTTTTTTTTTTAAATAAAAAAAGAGGACTAATTCAGCATATTTAAAATGGCACTGTTAGCCATTCAGCATGTGCCAGTCCTGGCAGCTTTCCTGGTTAGATCAATGAGCATTGCATGCAATCAAATACTCCTTTTAATTGGGAGCTTATTTAGCTGCATAAATTGAGGAGCCTATGGTTTGAATGTCTTGGCCTTTCCACCTATTTCATTTGTACATCATAGATTCCTCTGAAATAATTTTCTTCTCAGATTCTTATAGAGAGTAAGGTTCGTGTTTCTTAAGAGGCAGAGTTGTAATGTTACCATAGCAGAGGTCAGTCTCTCAAAGGCTTATAGTATGATAAATCATGACCAAATATATTTGTGGGTTATTTAAAAGCCATATGCTGAGCCACATGAAAAGAGTGAGCACATTTTTGTGTCAAATGACAGGAGACTGGATTTCTGCTCACATGCCTCGACATGGGCCTGTTACAGAAATTCAAGTATTTGCACACCACATCGGGTACAGACAAGGATCCATTAGTCATACGATGCGCTGCATGCACATATATACATGTGTGTGTCTATACATGTATATACACATATGCCTATTACATACTTCTAGTATAGTCTTAGCTTTGAATCTGTCTTGTACTTCGATTTCAATTGTGAGATAGACCCCCTTTTTGGTTCACAAGTTCGGGAAATCGGGGAAAGAGCTGCAGGGAGCAGTCTGTGGACCCCCCCACCAAAATTGATCTGTTCTTGAATCTTCTCCATACTCAAGTCTGAGGGTGTCCTTCGTAAGCAAAGCATCACGGGTTGGAAAAAGGCTGGAAGAATCTTGTCCTCACAGGCTGGCTGCTTCCACACTGAATAATAAGAATAAACATAATAAACTGAAGTCCATATAGTGAATCCTGCTAGCTTACTAAATTTGTATACAATTTTTTTTGTTTAATTTTTTTTTTTTATCTTCCAGGAAATACTGGATAGATCCCACAATGGAGGACGGGAAGCCCGTATGGGCTCCACACCCAACTGAGGGGTTTCAGATGGGGATGATTGTGGACATTGGCACTGACACCTTAACTATTGAACCTTTGAATCAGAAAGGCAAGGTAAGTGTCTCACAAACAAAGGAACAGAGAAAAACCTTACAAAAACTATTTTACCTGTAGGCTAAATCTTTACCAGTATCTACAATTACACGCAGCCTGAAGGAGTGGAACATCAGTTTTCTGTTCTAAGTTTGGCTAAGGATCTTTGTGTAGCTTTAGCTTGCATTGCAAATGAAACATCCTGCTGCAAAGAAGTGCATACTTTCTGTCAGTTACCTGCATGTGCATTGCGTACATGCTTGTGAAAGAGAGGAGGATTGAATCTCTGTAGCCATTTGGTTGATTCAGTACCGTATACTATATTTTTCTAAATTAGAGAGTGGTTAAGAGTCTACTGTTGTTTTGAGATTAGCTTCTCTCTTTTCCCTCACATGCACAGAGAGTGTCTTGCAGTGCTGTGCCAGGCTCTGGCTTAGATTAGACACCTTACTGTTGGACTGATGAAGGCTGAGAGATGAATCCTCTTACCTCAAGCACCTTGAGTAGTAACATGATGTCAAACAAAGGTCCTATGGAATTGTTACATCAAATTAAAAGCAAAATAAATGTAACTTTTAAAATGAAGTCCTAATTCTAATTAGTGTGTTCCAACTGCTTCATTTATCATGACATCTTTCAGATTAAGTATGTCGTAATTAAATGTCAGTTTTTACAGGAAGCACCTTGTATCTGTCAATTATCCTAATTCAGATGGTCAGCATCCTGGTTTTTACTAGCTGGAATAAGATCAGACATGGTTTTAAAAGTTGTAATTTTGGTCTTTGTGAATATGTGATATGTGCCCTTTCTAAACAATTTTGTCCTTTCTGTATCTTCAGGTATGGAAAAGACAAAATGTTTTTTATAACTTTTTTGCATCAACAATAGTAGAGAATGCCTTGTCACAGGTCAAAAGGTTATGCAGCAGTCCTTCCTTTTGGGGAATGTTTGTATGCTTTTTTTTTTTCTACATCTAGGAGAGGAAGTTGATTTTGCTTTCCTTAGAAATATAAAGCAAGTGTAAGATCTGATTTTTGTGTGGGAGAGATAAAGTCTGTAGGGTTAGTAGTAGTAGTATGCATTCTTCAGTTTGGGGAGGAGCAAAATTATTCAGACAAAAATATTAAATATTCCAAAGCTATGGTTAAGTTGTCTTTAACTGACTTTAAATGATTTTGACCTCGACTGCTATTTCTGTTTATATCCCCAAATGGTTCTGATGTGATAAAGAGCGAAAGTCTGTATATTGAAACAGAAACAGGCAATAAGGAGATTCCAGAGTCGCTATTTATTTCTAACATATGCTCCTTTCAGGGAGCATACATAATTTTTTTTTTGTCTTGTGAAACCAAAAAATGATCCTAAGACACAAGTATTTTACTTCATGGTTCGGAAGGAACAATCTCTTTTGTCTAGAAAGTTTCTTATTCTGTGGTTGGCTGTTTTCTTGAGTTACACAGATGAATTAAGAGCCTAATATTCACTCATCTAAAGGAACAAAGACTTCATAGTTTAAATACCATAGAGATTATGGTCCTGTATTTCTCATTGTCAAACTTCCTTATATTAATAGAGGTGAAGTAAAACATTTTCTTGATTACCTTCTCAGTCTTTTCAAGGTGCATTGATTTCTTTTTATATTGAAATTTTTCTCATTGCTTTTTGTCTTTTTAAGAAGACTCTGTTCTTGTGCGCTTAGACCATTAATTTGAAGTAGTCAGCATTAATACCCATTATTATCAACTTTGTTTACTTAAAATGATAGTTCAAAAGTGCTCTGCAGTAAGGAGGAGTGATCCGTCAGCTCCGGAGTTGCCCATGATAATTACAGGGAGGAGAGGAGTAACCTGATCTTGTAAACATATCCGGGCAGTGTTACTTATTATTATTTTTTAATCTGGGTCATTAACATGTCATACGTATTCTCTGTAGGTGCTGGTAGCTTACCAGAGATCACAAGCTGAAAAGGAAATGTGTATGCATATGTTTGATTGTTGCCTTTTATACCACTTAATGGTTAATTAAAAGATGTTGTTAATAACTGCGATGAATGCTGCAAGGCAGCAGTTTCAAGATGACTTAAAATCTTCCCTCCCTTCCCCACCCGGAGCTCGCTCTGGCATTGCAGAGTGGCACCCTCTCAGCTCTGCCCGCCGAGCTGTGCGTGACACGGAAAACGAGGTCAGAGAACGGATCCACCTTAAAAATGAAGAAGTGGAAAGTTTTCAGGACCGCAGCAAGCAGTGACAGGAGGATGGAGGACCTGAGGCCAGCATGGCCCATAGATTGCTTTGTATGAGGAAACCAAGTTACCCTGTCCAGACTGGGTAAAGGTAGCTGGCCAGCACAGCGGTTTAGTTATAAACCAGCAATTGCAGTTCTGGGTACCGCAGCCCATACAGAGTTAACACCAGCATTTACATTTCTGTGTGGAGGCTGGATGTCTACAGGGAGGTGGGGAGCTGAGTCACCCAGCCTGCACTGTACAAAGAAGGGTAATCCAAGCTGCAGGAGCATGTTATCAGAACAGAGGACGCGTGTGTTACAGGATGGGAGCTACTCCCTAAAACTAGATCATCGACTTGAGAGGCTGATAAATGCCAAGACTGGAAAGAAAACAGAGAAACTGGAGAGTGGTTTGCTCATGAGCGTGGTCCCACCGAGGGCTGGAGCGCTGCCCTGAGCATGGGCTCCGAACTGGACCGGGGGGCTGGGGCTGGCAGCCCCGGCCCGTGTCCCACTCGCAGTCGCAGGCTGGTGTACAAGGAAGGAGGCGGCTAGAAAGGCAGCTGGTTGTTAAACTCCGCTAGTACTGCATTTGCACTGTTGCTTGGAGTGTATTTTTCTGACCTTACTGGGACTCCTAACCTGAGATCCTCTTGCATGTATCTTATTTTGTTGTGTTGCTTGATGCTGTAACAGGGAGAAGGCAGGTGACAGATGACAATTGCTGAACGGAGAAACTACTCTTTTCCTGGAGGTAGCAAATCTAAGTAAAGCGATTAGGAAGAAATGTGTTGGAGGGACTTGCCCCCTGAGATGCCATCCTGGGACCCTCAGGGCACTGAGGGGCGGAGGGGCAGGCATTTCCTAGGGCATCAGCAGTAATGAGTTTCTGGCAGTCATTGGGAAGGCATGCCGGCACTCTCTGACAGCCCTCCTGCCATCAGCTGCCAGGCACCTTATGGCTCTGTGCCAGTTCTGAAGGGTCATGGAGGGCTTTATGGGGCGCCTACTCTGGTATGCTCTGAATAACCAGAAAGGTATTTTTCCAGGCTAAGTATAAATGAATAAATGTACTTTGAAAGTAAGGATCAGAATGTCCAAAGTTCAGTGTTTCAAGCTAAGGGTTTTTTTTTTTTTTTTCCTGTTTTAGCAGTGAGTGCAGCTTGCTTGCATGAATGAGACGTGTTCTTGTCTGCCTTACACACTGTGTACTGCTTTAGGTTGGTTTGTGAAATGTGGCTGAGAGTAGGGATGTCTCCTGTCTGTATCTGGAAGATACAAAGGCAGACATGGTTACGTGTATTGGGTTACATGGTAGAAAGAAGATCCTGCTTGAATGGAAAGATATCTTTTTTCACTCATCTAGTTTCTGGGAGAATAGTTAACATTGCCATTGGATTTCAAGGGCTGCTTCATTACAAAGAGGGGGGGAAAAAAAACCTACAAAAACCCCTAAACCCTCTGTTTTGCCTCCTGAGACCACTTTAGTGTCTCATAATGTTAGTACCCTCTCCATTTTCTTAGAACAAGTTTGTCCTAAGCTATGCCTTAATGCAAAAGTCTTCCACCAAATGCCTGAAGTGTTTTCTCCTTACAGTAACAGTTTAAAAAAAATAAAAATAGTAAAGACTTTCTTTGGATAATTTTTCATTGGTAGACCTGGGATACCTTGCTCATTTTCCTAGTTAATATATTATATTTTAATAGTAATTCACAATACTCAGAGCTCTGCACATCTAGCTAGTGTACTTACCTACCTAACAGGTAATCACCTTATGTAAAGCAGTTGTCCAGCTGGGACATACAGGAGTGAAATTCTTTGTTGACGTAGTTGAAACTAGGCTTCATGTTCTGATCTAAAAAAGTCCAACAGAAAAGCATCAGCTTTCAGTTAAGTCTTCTTCATATTGCTCATTTGTTTTATCACTTCTGAAATATCCTAGAAATTAATTCACAATTAACATTGAGTGAAAAAATGAAAGAGGATATATTACAGCATGAATTCTTGTAATTTGTTTCATTGAAATTTATCTTGAATCAGAAGGCTGAGTGGTGAGGACATTGAAAAACCTCTTCCTTCCTCTTCTGGGGCAGATCTTCTGTGGCTGGTTTTAGATCCATGAGATGTTACAGTATCAGAGATTTGTGGAGTCTTACAGAATTGCTGTCTTTCCTGCAAAAAAAAATAATCTGTCTTTGTTAGTGTTTAAACTCGGGTTACACATCAGCAGACAAGAACAAGAAGTGAAGTTAGATTTTCATGAAGCTGGTCGTACTCTTTTTCAACTTTTCCAGTTTCATGCACAGGGAACTGATTATATGGGAAACTCTTGTGTTCAAATATATCTTTACCCAAGAAGATACATCTTCATTGTTGACAAACCTGCAGAGAAAATGATTATGATAACGCGTTCTAACCGCAGTATTGTGAGAGGAAGGAAACGAGGAGGGGCAGAATCTCTGCCCTGCTAAAACTCTGAATAGCAGCTGGCAACCTTCTGAGGCAGGTAAAGACGTTCAGGTCCTCCATGGCTCCACCAAACTCTGATAAAGGATATTTTGGAAGAAGTTGGTCTGATGGATGTTCAGATGTTGCAGCGTCATTGAGCAGCTCTGTTTCCCTTAGGAAAACCTGTGTGTATTTTTCTGCATTAGATCCTGATAAGGGGATGAGAAAATGTAATTTATTATGGCTACGAATTGCATACTTTATGGTAACTTTGGAGGGAAAGGGTATCATAGACTTACTGTTTTCTGACCGGCAGCAATTAATTCTGCTCTGAGACATTTCCCACTTCAAAGGGGGTTGGAATTTGTGGCTGTTCATGATGGTGTAAGCTACAAGAGCTCACGTACTGTGTCTGGTGTGCTGAAGCAAAGGTGAAGCGAGTTGCCATCTTCCTCCTAAACATCCACGCGAGATGTTTCTCCTGGGACTATCTTGCTGAGTACAATGTTAAAAACGCAAACATGTTTGTTTATTAAGGTCATCCTTTAGATCCAGTTGGTTGCCTTTTCAAATATTAGACTAGACTTCTTGTCTCCATTTCCCTGGGGAAAAGGAGACTGTGCCTGCGGCAGTATGGCTGCTGTCGGGTTTAATTGGTACAACGGGGTTTTTGTTCATTCATAGGTAGCTCAAACAAGCTATTACTATGGTAAACAAAAAAGTATAATTAAAACCCCACCTCTTACAATAGGTATTTTTGTGCAGATGCTGTAATGCATGCGTGCTAGGATCTTTTTCCTTCCTTTTTACAGCAATATGAATTATGATTTCTGGAGAATAAAGAAGAAACAGAGTTGCTTTTGTTATGAATTTTTCCAGTTGGACATGAACACTTGATAAATGGCTGTTTTGTGTAACTGGAACACAAGGGTTGAAGGAAGGTCTTATGTTACTTTAGGATTGATTTATTGAAGAAAAAAAAAACAAGCAACAACCAAAGCTACAGTATTTGGGAATACAAAGAATATTATGTATTGAACATTTCTATTTTAAGTATGAATGTTTTAAAACAGCATATGATAATGACAGCACAGTCCTTCGACTGAACTAATAATTTGTTTTTTATTCTTTGTGCTTCTTCGCAAAACTGAGGAAGTCGCGTGGCCTTTACAATGCTGTTCCCTTTGCAGGACTTTCTTTTTATCTTTTTTTTTTAATAACGCACAATGTTACAATATTACATGCAATTTTGGAAAGGAGCATCAAATGTTATTGCAATAAAATATATATTACAGTGACTGCATTTTTATAATGTAGTGTAGTAATGTAAATGCAGCAGCTCCTATGTGCATCTAGTAACTCAGTAAAATTTCCCATGCTGAAGTATAAAGCTGGCAACTTCATTTTACACCATACACAGTTACAGTGCACTCACTTGTGTCATCGCATCAGACATCTTTGAACTATATTTCTATTTTTATGGAATTCTGATAATGTCAATATTTTTCATTGAACAGACTTTCCAGGCTGCTATCAATCAAGTGTTTCCTGCGGAAGAAGACAGCAAAAAGGATGTAGAAGATAATTGTAAGTTATGAATTTAAAAATCTATTATGTATTTGAAAAAAATATATCTGTATAGAAGAGAATATTGTTTTCTTACAAGCTTCCTGTTTCTTCCTTGTAGTCTTTGTTTTGCTGCTTTGCTTGAATTTAAGTATGACCTCTACTACTCCTTTAAACTTCTTAAAGTAAGCCCATTTTAAACATCATTTATTGTGTTTTTTAATTTTCAGTTGGAACACTTTAGAGGAAGTCATAGTTACGTTATTCCCACATAAAACTGTTACCTGACTTCAGATATATGTACACTGTCACCTAACTGCATCAGGATCAACTGCATTCAGCGTTATGGGGGTTAACGATATCTTTTATAGTGCAACAAAAGAATTAGTTGCTTTATCAGCAGCTGTATTATACAGCGTTTTCCTGAATGTAACCCATTCCTCAGACAGCATTCCTGTGGAAGTACAAGTAATTGAAAAATTTTAAGGTAACCTTCCCAAAACTGGAGACAGGAATTTGAACCCATCGGGCCCATGGGAAAAGGGAATAGGTTATAGTGAATCGGGTACAGGAGTGCTGCTGGAGAAGGAGTTTTGGGGTGAACTTGTCTGAAAAACTTCAGTGTTGATCTGCAGGGCTTTTGTGCTGTTATTGTATTTTTGTATTCTCACTTTTTGTTCACTAGTTGAGGTTTATCTCCAGGATGTGTAAAACCCAAGTTCATTTTCCTTCTCTGTCAGAGAGCATTTGTACTGAGCATCATTGATCTTTAAGAAGAAACTTTATAAAATACTGAGTGCTTTCAGTCTCACCTTATAATACTGGTCTGAATAATCCTGAAAAACTAGTCAATAATACACTTACCACTCCAAGCTATGCTTTAGGTTAGTGATTAATTCCCTTCTAGGAAGTAATTGACTGAATATTGCTTTTTTGCACCTTTAGTTTTCCATATCCCAAATGCATAGTTGCAAGAGACACTTTTTGAGAATCTAGCCATTCCTCAAGTGTGGATTTTCAGTAAATATTGCAAACAGTACAGAGTCAAAGCATTTACTTCTTTTTTTTGTGACTCACGCTGTTCTTCTGCCCCCCTCAACCCCACTCAGTTTTGGGGGGTTGTCACCATATGTAGAATTTTTATTTTTTATGGCCAAGAAAAAGATTGATTTTTTTTTTTTTTTTTTTGTAAAATTTATTTCTGGGGTGAAACAATTTAAAATAAATGAAGGGGGCAGAGTATCAGGTAAGAATTTTAAAAAAAAATAGTTCTACAGATGCAGAGCCTTGCAATTACATGATAAAATTATATTCCATATAAACTCGGCTTCGTTGTGCGCACAGGAGAGCCAGTGTGAGTAAATTTGATGTTGATATTTCCTAACTTTTAGTGCCTGACTTTGCTTCTGTGAACTTTATGTGTCTGTGTAAGTAAATATATGGACTATTAAATGCACATACATACACTGGTTATATTTAGGCATGAGCCATATGAATATTCAGAATTCTCTCTCTGGTGACTTCCTTTGCCTCTGGATATGAATGCCTCTTTCAAAGGTTTTATTCTAAAGAAGATGCATTTCGAAGTTGCTGACGTAAGCCTTAGTTTGCATGTTGTGAGCGCAGGCATGACATTCCCTCCGGCAGCAAGCTCCCATTACGTACCCAGTCTGCAGGTATAACTGCTTTAACAGGGACTTGCTAAGAGAGTACTGGGGACACACTGAAATCTGGGGTCCTTTGTTGTTTAGATAATTGCCAAGTTTTTACTAGGACGCTTAACACATGACTGTTCCCTTTAAAACATACTGCAGACCCTAGGGAGGTTCTTAGGAAGATACAGTCAAGGGAGAGGATCATTTCTTTAAGTGTATGTAGACAATTACTATATAATAGTTTCTCAACTCAATACTGAGAATCCAAATGACTTAAAAAAATCAGCAAACTTCAAACATTAACCCCCTCCCCGCCCCTCAGGGCATATACAAGGTGAAAAGGAGATTTTAACGTTCATTAGAGCAAGCAGGAGTTTCTGTTTCTGGCCCATTTCCTTGTAACGTCCCTTTCTCTTGGTGTGACCTTGTTAAAAAAGGTGAAGGTGGAAAGAGGTCTGTGGAGGCAGCCCTGCAATTTGTGGTCCCAGCCCCATTTTCTCATGGACTGAGTGTGCCTGGGGAGGGGAGGAGGAGAAGTCCCGCTGCGCAGCGCCGGGTGCTGGCACTCGGTTGCCTCCCGTATCGGTGACTGCGTGGTGAGTGGGTGCTGTGGGTCTGCTGAGGTGGCAGGGGAGAGACCGTGGTGATTGGGGCCAGCCTGCTGCTTCATAAAGGTATGGTGCCCAGGCCCGACTTCAAAGCTGTTGTGATCCAAAGGGAGATTTTGCGTAGCGTAAAGCTTAACCCGTGGCTTGTGTGCCTCTGCCAACACAGGGGTTTGCATGCCAAAGGGTTTTGTGGAGGAAGATGGTTTCTTCTAAAGAACCCAGAAGTTGCAAGGTCCCTTGAGAAGTGTGAATGATTCCAGCCATTCAAAGCAAAGCTGTAGTTAGTCGTGTAATGGAAGGAAGGGCTGTTATTCAGTGGAGCT